AGAAGACTAGAATTATAATCTGCAGATTAAATACTATCATTTTTTTTCCAGCGTCTTTTAAGAAAGAATTGGTTCAATTTCAATTTTCTCCTTTTTGCTTTTCGACGCACTGACTTTACCCGTGCCCGAAAATGACAGACATCACTGTGATATATACTTTTTACAAAATTTAAATTCATAAATTGAGAGCATTTATATGAAATTGTTAATTTTCTGAGAATTGTGTTGTTTTATGACGGAAAAGTGTTGTCTGATAATTTTCCCCTAACTTGTTGACAGAGAAGTGAAATGTATCCATGCTATATTCCAAAAACGATTTATTTGAAGTTTTTAAGAAAAGAAAGAATATTAGATGAAGCTGATCTCAGTTTGTTACTACCTTGGATTAAAATCATGGATATTTAATATCATTTACAAATTAACTATCTTTGCCATATTGAAGCAAATAATGAGTCTTCTGGAAATAAAGGGACTAATGTGAAAATAACTGTGTTTGTTGATTATTATTATTATTATTTTAACCCTTGTGTTCGAGGCCCAGATCTTTACATTTTTTCTCTTAGTCCACAAAAATGTAAATTTTGTAGTAATCTGTCATTCTTCAGAAATGCAGCTAAATACTGTAAAGTGTGATGCATTTAAGGAACAAAAAAATAAATAAGAGCAGCACGGTGGTTAGCACTGTTGCCATCTTTTAACCTTTTTAAGTTGGGTTTTATTGTTCATCAATAACACAGATTCACCTCAGTAAGTAACACAGACTCTTTGCCTTAACAAAACTTCCTTCCTGTATTTTCCAATGGGTGAAGATAACATCTAATAGATAATCGAGAATTTTATATCAAGGGGCACATACAGCACACTTTAATCCTAAGTGGGTGACCGGTGGAACTCCCCTTTCTGTCAGTATAAAGAAGTTTAATAACACATTTAATCCCTGAATGTAATAAAAAGACGACAGTATGTCTCAGTCATTCCACATGACAAAGAAATGCTGGTGCAGTAAATGAAAGACACGTGTCAGCATCACCGTTTGAGCTGAAACTGCAAGAAATAAATACAGAAAAACTGGAAAACTCATTAAAATACATTTGAATGTCTGAAATTTTAAGCCCTCTTTTTTGCACCCATCCAGTGGATGTGTGTTTCTAAGTTACTGGCCACAAACAAAGCTTGCACCTCTGCCATCTTATAATCATTACAGTACCCACTATCCCCCTCTTTTCTATCTTACTGGTGGAGGAAACCTGGCAAGGTGCATTTACACAGATTTTACGTAAGCAAGTCTAGAAAATGCACAAGGGCTCTACAGCTTATCAACCTTGCAAAGGTCCCAGAAGATTAAGTCATCGTGCTCTGATTTAAAGTTCTGAAAGGTTTTCGGTGTTTATGTGCTGCTCTCTGTCCTTGCAAGCCATCACATTTAAAACCGGAATATCCGTGAAGGGGCACAGTCCTCAGCTTTTACGCTATCCACTCGTTAACTTGCAGGATCAAAGGTCTTTTATAAGTTATCACTGGAATTTGCTCAGTGCGCTCAGTCAGTGAGTCAGAGGCAGGCACACGGTGTGAAAACACTGACCACTCCAGCACTACTCCTCCACTTTCAACTTCAAGGTCTGCTGCCAGACATGGACAACATCTACGAAACACTAGATCACGAAGATGTGCCCGCAGGACGCGATCGCGTCGAGCCCAAATATGAGAACTCGGGTGAGGCGAGGGAGCAGCTGTACAGCGAGGTGCTGGTCCACAGGCCGTCTCAGGAGGAAGACCGCAGCTCCCCGGATTACATGGAGATCAGGGAAGGGGGCAAACACAGCGACTCCTCTTCTTCATCCAGCGACGACGAGGACGCTAAAGCGAGAAAGGAAAAAGTGGAGCCCCAGCCTGCGGTGGAAGTGGAGGCACAGGTGCAGGAGGTGAGCGGCGAGGCGCACAACGGATCCAGGCGCTCATCCTCCTCCTCAGATTCATCCGCCTCACCCGGAGATCCTTGCGACGACCCGCCGTTTCAGAGGAAGATCCAGGAAGAGGATAACGCCGAGGATGGGATGATGATGGCCTACAGCCGCCCTAAAACTGACCCCGAGCCGCAGGAGTCTGTCGACTACACGCTTAAAACTCTGGAAAGTGTCTCTTTGGATGAAAGCAGCTCTGCGCCAGCTGATCCCAACCAGCCTAACATCGCCCTGTACATTAAGGTGAGACATATGCTATACTATATAAAACGAGCTCTGCAGGGTTGATCCAGGCATCAACAGTACACAGCCTCAGGGTTCAGCATGAGCCTTCAGGCGCGTGGAATTTCACTGAGGCCAAGTAGCGCATCCTTTTGAAGAGACTCATCATTTGCTCCTGTGCATATTATATTATATTATATTATATTATATTATATTATAGAAATGATAATTCACCTCATTAGACTTCCATGTGGTTACTAGTTAAGTCTAAATAGTTATATTTAAATATAAGTGTTACTAAGCTGTGTATATTTAGAAGAACAATGCATGTTTAAAAGAATAGTGCATA